ATCTTCATGTACTTCGGTGGCTGCTGACGTCAACAGTTGCATTGTCAATTCTTAGGCAGATAGTAGCTGAGTGGGAGTAGTCTGGGCACCAAGCGCCAAGTAGGCGGAAGGGTCTGGACTCTTATGTTGGTGAAGACGAGAGTAAGCTCTCATTGACATTCGGTTTCAGTGTTACGATTCTCCATTGGTGTATTATTGGCGCAATGCTACTTTCTGGACACTGTGGAGCTTTCTGGCTTTCAATGTGATTGTGCAATCTGATTCTGTCATCTCGCTATTGCTCATTCCTTGCACAAAGGGCGTGAGCAAACAATATCTTATCCGGATGACTTGCTTCAGAGTCTCAGATGGAGGGGTCCCACAAAACGTTGAGTCAGACAACCAACCGTGAAACAAAGGGCGTGAGGCAACAAGCCATCTTATCTGGATGACTTGTTCCACGGTGACTCGAACTCAGGCCCATTCTTTTTTCTTTTTTTCTTTTTTTTTTAATTATACATTTGATTCAAGTCAAGTCATTTGGTCCCATGGGGGCTCGAACTCAGGCCTGTTTTTCAACAGCTCATGTGCATAGCAAGGGAGCTACATGTAGGCCTGTTGGTACCTTCAATTGTCCAGATATCTGCATACAATCCGTACGGGTGGGGACCTCTCACTGAACCAGAAGACTGGGATTGCAAGAAGAAGAAAAAAAAAAAATTGTGGAAGAAGTTATGATTTGCATCGCGAAAGGCCTTCTTTGCAAACTTTGCACCCCGAAAGGCCTTTCAAGGTTGCCCAGGTGGTCTATCCATCTTTGCTCTTCGCGTCGCCTGTGCCGATGCCGACCCTCTATTTCAACAGCTCAGGTGCGTACCAAGGAGAGCCTGTTGCAATTTCCTGTAGTCATAGAATGAGAGAGCCGGTTGCTTTCACACTCTCTTTCTTTCACACTCCTCTTTCTTTCACACTCTCTTGCTTTCACACTCTCTTGCTTTCACACTCTCTTGTTTGAGCTAGCCGGTTGGCCACCGGCCAGCTCAAACAAGAGAGTGTGAAATCAAGAGAGTGTGGAAGAGAGAGTGTGAAAGCGACCGACTCTCTCATTCTATGACTACAGGAAATTGCACTGGGACCAGAACAGCACCTCATTTGCAAAGGTGCCTCTGCCAGAATGCAATGCACCTGGGCATCTGCGCCCACGTGCAGGCGGGAGAGTGATCTATCTGTAGCCTGGACTCTGCAGGATGCGGACAGGGTCGGGATTTGCACAAGCAACGCGAAGCGGAGCGAAGATGGATATATCATACATCTGAAATTGTCATAACCACTTAATTCAGAAAAAAAACAAAAAACAAAAAAAGTTTGCAACCCCTTAACGTTAATGTGCCCATAATTTGTGAATGCATTGCAGTTGTCAGCGTCCCCGATATCATCACATCAACCGACCAATCGCCATCGTAAGTAACCTTACCATCATATAAATCAGGTCAGCAGATCTCCGTCATTGTCGTCGCCATCATCACTCTCACATCCCCAAAAGCATCATCATGGTCATCCTTATCTCTGTTATCGTGCTCACCATCATCATCATCATTGTCATCATCATCGGCAGCAGCAGCAGCAGCACGATCGTCACTCTCACGATCTTCATGGTCATCATCATCATCAGCATCACCATCATCATCATCATCATCATCACCATCATCATGAGCATCATCATCATCAGCAGCAGCAGCAGCAGCAGCACGATCGTCACCCTCACGATCTTCATCATCATCATCATCATCATCATCATCAGTGTACCGATGCTGCTAAGAAAGAGCACCTTTTAACATTGTCTCTCTCTCTCTCTCTCTCTCTCTCTCTCTCTCTCTCTCTCTCTCTCTCTCTCTCTCTCTCTCTCTCTCTCTCTCTCTGTGAAAAAAAAAAAAAAAAACGGAAAGGTCCTTTCTCACTCTTTTCTACGTCATTGGGTGGTGTTGGACTGATCAAATGAGGTTTACAAACTTCTACTCCAAGGGCCTTGGTCCACTACTCAGCACATGTGGAAACAACAAATGTTCTAGTGGCAGATGCATTCTCATTTTGCACACTTGGTGAGTAGTGGAGGGAGGCCCCAAGGTGCATTTTTCTCCAAAAATTGGCATTTCGTAAAAATTGACATTTTCACTATTTTCAACGAAATTGGGCATCCAAGAAAAAACTGTGTTTTTGTGCCCACAACATTGGACCATTGATGGTCCGGCGTCCTGGGGACTCCAGACCATCTAATGTATCTCGACGTAAAGTACCGTCAAAATACATCCGAGGGTCAGAAAAAAATGAAAAAAAATCAAGGCAGATCAGATGGTCCTGCGTCCCCAGCCATCAGTGGTCTGATGTGGTCGGCACAAAAAAATGCAAAAAAATATTGTGATTTTTTGGAAGATCAATTTCGTGAAATTAGTAAAAAATGTCAATTTTAACGAAATGCCTGTTCAAAGGTCGTCGAGACGGGAATTTTTCTCCCTTCCAAACAACATTTCCTTTTTTCTGTGGATCGCAAATTTGAGGGCCATGCCCCCCCACCAGGTGTTATGCTCATGCTAAGATCGTATGATGAACCTGACCAACTTTCGGACCACATTCACTTTCTTTTCTTGGCACAAACTCTCCTGCCAGAGGAGCCTGACTCTGACTGCACGTCTTGGAAAGTCTTAGAGCGTACTCACACTATGACTTTTCTGGATGAATCTGACCGCAAATTACCGCCCCACATGGATGTATCTGACCGCAATTAAGACCACAGCTGAGTCAAAAAGGTCTTAGTGAGAGTGTGCCCTCAGTATGCCCTTGGGTGTCAGCCTTTGTGACCTAAAAGACTCTCAGTTCTAGAACAGTACAATGGAGAAAAAGGAAAAAAAAAAAAAAGGGGGTTAAGTACATTCATGTCACTTTTGAGTATCTAATGGGCAAAAAAAAAAAAACACGCGTCGGCAAAGAAAACCGCGCCGAGTTTGAAAAGGCAACGAAAGTACCGACTGCCGTGGTGTCAGACCGAGGGGTGTCATATTTATTTACAGGGGTCGGCCGTGGTGTCAGAGGGGAAAACAAAACAAAACAAAACAAAACAAAAAAAAAAAAAAGCCCAACGGAATTGAACGGATACTTTTGATCCGCTCATTTCGAGTTGGCGCGTGGTTTCTTTGCCGGCGCGAGTTTTTTTTGCCTTCAGGGTTTCAATTTTCAAAACATGCCGTGTCCACCATTATTTCAAAACAAAAAGAAAGGGAAACTACGCGGGAATCACAAAAGTGAGTTATAATTGGGCTATGTGCCGAGATACAGTTTCGAATTGCAGTTTGGGCAATGTATACAACCCAGCTTTCTGGCCAGGTAGGGTGCCTGAAGTGCAATTGCAAACTGTATCTTGCCCCATAGTACAATTATAACTC